TTAACTTCTTTGTGCTAATTTCAGCTTCTTTCTGCTTTTTTAATGTAAATTTTAGCTTTTTTTCTGCTAATTTAAGCTGTCTTTGTGCTTCTTTTTGCTATTCTGATCTAATTTCTATTTCTTGTGCTTTTTTCAACTTCTTTCTGTTATGCTTCTTTCAGCTGTTGTCAGCTAATTGAAGCAATTTTAGAAAAATTTATATTTTTGTGATAATTTCAGCTTCTTACTACCTAATTCAACAAACATGCTTTTGCAGCTTCTTCATGCAAATTTCAGCTTTTTCAGCAACTTTTTAGTTACTTTTGTGCTAATCTCAACTGTCTTTCTGCTTCTTTTTGCTATTCTTCCACTAATTTCTACTTTTGTGTGCTTTTTCAGCTTCTTTCTGCTAATTTAAGCTTTTTCTGCTTCTTTCAGCTGTTTTCTGCTTCTTCAGCTGTTTTCTGCTTCTTCAGCTGTTTTCAGCTAATTGCAGCTTTTTTAGATAAATTATTCTTTGTGATCATTTCAGCTTCTTGCTGTTTAATTCAGCAAATATGTGCTCTTCCTGCTTCTTTGTGCTAATTTAAGCTTTTTCACCTATATTTTAGCTATTTTGTGCTAATTTAAGCTGTTTTAGCTTTTTTAAAACTTGCACATTTTTTGTACATCTTTTCTTGATTTTCTGCTAATTTGAAATTGTTTACACTCATTTCAATGTCTGTGTGCTAGTTTCAGTTTGTTTCTGCTACCTTTTTTTTGCCAATATTAGCCTTACTCTCACCTTCAACTGAATCAGATATAAAGATATTGAGCTAAATCTAGGTGGAAGSTGAAAGTAATCCTCACCACACGCTGAAAGCTAATTAGCATGTCAACATGGCTAACAAAGCTAATACAAGCTGTTCATCAGTCAGTGAGCATTTATTCTTTGAACTCTGCAAAAGYGAATAATTATTTCTCAAATAAAACTGAGGCCAATCAAAACCCTATCTGCAACAAGTAAGATATTTATTGTTCATAACGTTTCTACACACCTCACTGAGGTCAGCAATTGTCAGGTTCATGCCTGCCAGCTGCTTCCATACAGGCTCAGCCAGATTCAGGCTGAGGGGGCTTCCAGTTCGGATTGCAATTCCAAGCAGGACTCCTGCAGACACACAAGACTCTCAGATCAAACCAGGACGATTATCTGAGCTGGAGTCAAGAGTCAAGATGTGTTTGTCCAAAGCAAGACAGTTTGAACAGTTCAGGATAGCAGTTTCATATGTAAAAATGTCATTTTTCTGTTTTTGTGTAAGATTAACATTGCAGACCGGGAGATGAACTGGACTTTACCTAAGAAGCGAAACATGCTCATGTGAAGAGAGGACTTGGCTGCGGGGTTTARCAGGAAACAGTCCCTGTTGGCTCCGGACTCGTCGCGGCCGTTGGGGGTGACGATGAGCAGCGGCGTMAGAGAATTCTGTAGCTCTTCGCACATTTCAGCGATGGACTCACTGTAGCCTCCGCCACAGTCGTCTACAGACTCGCCTGGTTAAAAATAAAAAAGCGTGTGTCAAACCTGTAGGCTGAGACACAAAGACGTTTCTAAAAGAAGTAATAAACTTCTCAGAGACGTTTCAGGAAGGGCCTGAGACGAACACGTACCCACAAACTTAACCTTCCAGACGCGATGGGGGAGCAGCAGGCTGTCWGGGCTGAATGAACTCATTTTGGCACACATCTGACCAAACACAGACTTGGTTCCGTCGGGACCTGCCAGACCTCCTTTGCTGCGGGAACGCTTAACCTGCAGGGTTAAAAAAAGTAAAGGCAAAAGAAAAAACTTTGATTTGTTTGTTTTGAGCTTAGTAACTTCCTGACAAATCCAAAGTGGTTTTTGTGCATGAATGGCTGGATTTGACAGTTTTTTTTTCTCCACAGACAGAACAAAGCCAAAAACCCTTCTGTGGAGTCAGAACGTTAGAACAGAACTCCCTACAGACAGGAAGGAGGGAAGATCACACACCATGAAAAAATCCTCTTATGAAAGACATCACATGAAGCACTTAGGAGCCAGCCAAGAACGTAATATTACGGG